GGTTGCAGAACCAAACCAGACAGTTATAGAGGTGCAGAGGACAGACTCAATAATTCTTCTGTAGAACTGTATCAGTATGATACATGGGCAATTTGGGGATGGGCAATTTGGTGTGTATCCATATTCATCCATCCATCCATCCATCCGTATCTATTTATCTTACTAACTATCTCTCTATCTCACTCTATGTCTGTCATGTTTGTCTATAAAATTTGTGGGAATCCAAATTGTAGTGTTCTCTAACTATGGATCTGTCAGTGTATAAAATATTCTGTTATTAATTTTAATGTTTTTACTCATTCTTATGATCCTTATGGATTGAACTTTCTTTCTCTGTATTTTAACAATTATTTTTGCTGTTTTCATCAAACTATAAGTAATATCACAAATGAAGGCAAATATATGTGTCCCTGGATAATGTTGCAGGATCCAGTCTGGGTTAGTCACCAGAACCAGAGTTTTTGTCTTCCAAGTTTTAAGTAATGTAACAAATCTAGGGGCCCTAACATGAGCAGTCCCTCATTTCCTTCTTTCTATTCACAATACAAATGTTTATGTCATGATAACATTGCTTTTCAAGTTGCCTTGCAGTAGTTGTCAGTGAAGAATAAAGAAAACCCACAATGCAGTGATAAGCCATTATGTGTGTTATCGTGTAAGACAAGACTAGGAAACCTGCAGACTGTTGAAGGTTGACAGCAAAATGATTGCATTATGGTAGTGCAATTTCATCACATTTGGGGAGTTTGAGTGGGTTTGAAAGTGGGAATAGAATGATGATTTGCCTTGCAGAAGCCATCCACACAAATACATTCAATCCATAGTGCCCCCCCAACCCAGTCATAAGCACTCATAAAGGGACAGACTGAAATATTATCTTGTCATCAGATGGACTGCTGCAGTCCCACTGGAAATCTTACAAGATTTTGATATCATTGCAATTCAAATTCTAGTAGCAATAACAAGCTAAACACATCTTCATGGACAGTGGAGACAACAACTATGACCAAGAACCAGTTAATAGATTAGTTCTTCAAATCCTTTCTGGATAAGGAGAGGATGAGGAATTGCCCACCTGTGCTCTGCATGGCTATTCTCCATGAGGAGACAGTGGCCTCCCATACGTTTCAGTGCCAGGAGAAAATATCAAGCTCATTACTACAGCAGAGCTTTTTAAAGGACGCTAATGTCCTAGTCATTTTCAGGAATTGCCTATTTAACTAGCTTAGGGCTATTGAAAATCTTCAGTATAACAAGTTTGAAAAGCTACCTGTTGTCTAAGTTCATTTCTGAAGATAATGAAACTGTAAGTTTAAGAATTTAAAAAATTTGAGGACTTCTGGTTTGAGCTTTTTCGGCGACAGACCAAAACCTCATCTCTGCGAGGCTTCTATCCGTGCTCGCTGCTGGAGCACCCCGAGATGGCTGGTTTTGGGGCTAAGCCACCCCGTAGAGGTGGTGAAGAAGGGGGAGACTGCCTGCAGGGTTGAAGAGAGCCGCATCTCTCCTCCCCAGCTGCCCATTACTCCCTTTCCCGAAGGCGGTTGTAGTGGTGGTCAGAAATGGCCACCACAAAGAAGAACTCAACCAGAAAAGAATGTGCAGGAGGAAGATAAGAAGAGAAAGTTTTGGTTGACCAGGTCAAACAGCAAAAGCAACAAATAAGGTACCCTGGAATTGAAACTATTAAAAAAAACAATAACATTGTTCCCTAAGAAGATTTTTAAGCTGCGAAGGAGAGAGAAAAGGGAAAAGATTTGTTGTTGTTATTTTTCTCCTTTTCCTATACTGACAGCTAAGAGACTTAAGCAAGAAATTGGAAAAAAATCCACTTTGACATTAATAGGCATTTAATGCTAAAAATAAAAAGTCAAAGGGATAATAAAGATTTCTGGACAATCAAAAGCTTTTGAAAACAGGAAAGGAGAGAAAAAAATAAAAGGGAAGGGAGGAGACTGCCTGGAATTAAAAAGAACTTGTAGCAAAATCTCAACAAGACTTCCAAAAGATACATTTTAACTGAAATATTGCAACAAAAACCCCAGGAAGAGAAAGTGGAAAAAGAAATAAGAAGAAATAACTTGGGACTATTTGGATTACTTGATGATTTCTGGATTTTTGGTTATTGTATTTGAATGACTAAAATCAATCGGGTGGTTGTTTAAAACTGTTTAAAATGGCTCCACTTTTAGAAGAACTGAAAATGGAACTTAAAAAGCACAAAGAAGATGCACAAGAAGGGAGAGGTTCCTTTGGCTTCGTATTTCAGTTTTTAGAAATGGAGATTTGGAATTATGAGAAACAACAAGAAATGCCTGCGGAACAAGAAGATTGCGACAAAGAAGAAGCCATCTTTAATGAACAAGTAATCTTAGGTGGGGAGGGGGAAAGGAAAGGGGGGAAAGAGAATGGAAAGTTTAAGATTGGGAAAAACAACTCCAAAAAAAAAAAAAATAGAGTGAAAAATAAGTATAAAATCAGAAAGCAACAGAAGAGGGAAATGCAGAAGAGAGAATTAGAAGTAGAGAGACAAGGGGTTAAAAAGGGGAGGGAGAAGATGAGAGGGAAGAAAGAAAGGAAAAGAAGTTATAAAGGACAGAAACAAAATATAGAGAAACAGGGCCTATTTAGAGATAATGGGTGAAAATTTAATGGAAAAAGGGATTCTGCAAAGGTACATAAGGTAGTATTGTTATATTAGAAACAGAAATAATTTTAGAAAATATGAAACAATTTATGATTAAAATGTTTGATAAAATAGCTATCGTAATTCAGTGGAATGCTTGTCAATAAATAAATGTAACAAAATGAATATTTAATGATTTACAAAACATATGTGAAGAGAAATAAGGGAAAAATTAATTATGGAGATTATATGTGTCTTTAAGGAGTTATGATATTTAATTGAAAAGAAGTGTTAAAGGTGTTAACATTTTAATGATTATTAATGATAGAACTGAATTGGAATGGAATGAGGGTTTATAATTACATATATTTATAATCTTTTTAAAAATAATATAGTGTGTATTATAAGAATGTGCCAAGCAGAATTCAATTGGAAATTATGTATTATGTATTATATTGAAGGTCATAACCTTAAGGTATATATTGAAGTTTAAATAAGAGTTGAATGGATGTAATTAAAAGATATAAAGGTGTCATACTACAATTAGTAACTACAGGAGAAAATTTGTTTAATGAGAAAAGATAATATGAAATTGAAACAGAACAGACAAAAGTATAAATATAATGATTTTAATTGAGATGAGATAATCAAAATAAAATTGAGAAAATTAAAAGAGCGGAAAAACTATATAGAAAATGTAGAATAGTATAAGATATGGAATAGAACACAAAAAGGAGCATGAAATTGAGCTTTGTGTCTGTATAAAGAAGTTCAACCCGGGACCGTGCTATTTTCAAAAAAGATGTTTTACTTGTATTTTGTATGTGTGAAAACCCAAATAAAACTTTATTAAAAAAAAAAAAAAGAATTTAAAAAGTTTGAAATAAATGCCAAAAAGATAAATGAATTTTTGAACCAAGAAAGCTACAAGTGAATCAAGGGACCAGATAAATTTGGGATATTGAAACTTTGAATATTAAGATTTTGGAATTAGCTAATTAAAATAAACAGATTTCTGTGGGAGCAAGAACCTTTTTGTTTGCTATAAATCATCACAGATATTAGAGATCTTATGATTTAAATTGAACATTGGAGGGGACTAAAGATTCCAGGCAAAATGAAAAATGGAATTATGTTTTATTTTGCCTCAGATTAACACTATAATGCTTGAGACTTTCAAAGAATGGAACCAGAAATTAATAGTCCTAGTATGAAATTTTGACAACCCTTTAAAAATTCATGAGAAGCGGCCTCTGTTGAGGTTATTATCAAATTTGTTTATACTTGTGATAAATATTGGAAATTACTTCTTTGTCTATTTCTTTTCTTTTTCTTTATTTCACTCTTTCCTTTTTTCCTTCTTTTTTATTTGCACTTTTTACTCTTTTTTTAAATTTTATTTTCTGTGTTGTCTCAGTTTGCATTCATATAATAGATAGATATAAAGATATAATTTTGATAATTATAGCTGAAAATATTTGATGTTACTGCCCAAATCTTTTAAAATTTCAGAAAAAAACACTGGTATCTTTTGAGACTTGCTAAACATAAACTATTTAATTTTCTTAAGCTAATTTGATTTTTGTTTTATTGTCACAATAACTTCAATACTGACCAATGGAAATATTTTCATTTAATTTGGGGATAGGGATAGCATGGATGCTATCAAGAAGGGCATATGCCATTATGCTCAAAGCATGACACTGGAAGTCTTCAAAACTATCAAGCCCAGAACACTGATCCACATAGAGAAGCAATTAAGGGCTGAATGTTCAGAATTGATGTTTCAGAAACCCATGACTTCAAGCAGTATTTTCTGGCCTTTCAGAGGAGATTCCTTGATATTCTGGCTGTTTGTGCTATTCACCAAATGCGCCAAGACTAAAGTCCATTCTTCAGCAACACAACTTTCTTTCCTACAGTAATTTTGCTATTCTTAAAGCATTTTGTCAGTCTTACTAGGCGACATTGTGTACAAAACCTCTGTGAAATTGTGAAATTCCATCTTCTGAACAGGGGAGAAGTATGTTAACTGATTATGGGCAACACCACAATCACACCACCGAACCACTACCCTTTTTCCTCATTTATGTTGACAGTCATAGCAATCTGGAATTGAAAATGATTAAAATATGATTATCTATATGGTTTTTAACGCTTATAACTCTTACTCAGAAAAGGCATATTTTAAAATAACATAGGTAAACAAACATAATAGAAGCTTAGGAAGCGTTTTTTCAAACATTGTAAAGCTATATTTTGATGAATGGAATTAATTACAGTGTATTTTTCTTTTAATATTTTAACTGTTCTAAGCAGATACGTGATGTCAATATCATCCAGACTTTTTAACATTGAGTTTTATTGTTTTCAGAGACGCAATGGAGAAGATATTCCAGTGGCCCAAACAAAAAATATAAATCACAGACGTTTTGCTGCCACCTTTAAACTTCAGGAAGTAACAAAAACAGATCAGGATTTATATCGTTGTGTTACTCAGTCTGAGAGAGGATCTGGAGTTTCCAACTTTGCTCAACTTATTGTTCGAGGTAAGGGTTTCTTAGATTTCTCAGACATGATCCCTTTATATTTTACCATTAATTTATGATTGATATTCCATCAGAAGCTCATAGCAGCTCCTCTCACTTTTCTCCACAACCAACCCTCCAAAAATAGGTTGGGTTGAAACAGAGCAATGGACCCAAAGACAATCAATAAGCTTCAACGGACAAGGTGGACCAGTAAATTTAAATTTAAATTTAAATTTAAATTTAAACTTTAACCTTAGACTGTCTACTATTGACCTCACCCCTTTCCTAAGAGGCCTGTAGGGGGCGTGCATAAGCGCACCAACGTGCCTACCGTCCCTGTCCTATTGTTTCTCTTATTCTTCTTTTATTTTTCTTATATGTACCCATTTCATGTATTCACAACTATGTATACATTTATACTTATTATCTTGTAAACAATTGGCAAATCAAATAAATAAATAAAATAAATAAATAAATCACGCTATTATAAACCTCATAGTTATATAGATGATTCTTACATTGGGTTGTAGATAAAAATTAACGGAAAAAAATAATTGCTAGATATACCCATTATTTTAAATTCTGTCTCTAAAATCCTGCAAGTATGAGTTCATAGCTGGAGGGTGTAGAGTGCTGTGCTTACTATATTATTTCAAAGCAATACGCATTGAAAGTGTTCTCTTCTTGTTTGTTTTGTTAACCATCAAACAAGCCTCATTAGTTAAAAACATACCCTGAGGAGAAAGCTTCTCCAGTGTTAAAACTGTGCTGAAAATTAAGTACAATGACAGGGCCTATATCTTAATGGCACTTTAACGCCAATGTCCTATTCTGTGGACACAAAAGATGGTAATTTTAAAGGAAATTTTTGGGCCAGTGATATGAATTGCCTTTAATAAAAGCTGGCATAGTGTTGCCCATAGTAAAAAATGACTGGGGGTAAGAGTTTATTAGTGCATTCCTTTCTAAACCAAAAGTGACAGGGCATGCTTAAGGACTTTCTATTGCTATTTGGAACAAACAAAAATTTCAGTGCTGAATTCTCATACTGACGAATCTTGATCTATGTGATCCCTCAACTGTAGGGGGAAAAAAAAACATGATACGATGAAATACAATTTATTTTGTCATGTCTTGAGTATTGCTTCTATATCATTTTGACTAATGAGACTATCTCCAACTTGTAGAAGACAAATCTTGACACTTCTAGGCTTTAATGAATGTGAGATGAATAAGACCGGCTGTTGATAAACTAGATTAAAATTGTCTCTGTTCTATTGCCAGGAATATATGGTCAAAAGATGTAGTTTAACACTTAATATTGGTAAGCCAGCAAAAAGATAAAAAAATGAACAGGGTAAAATGTTAGAATAAAAAGATGTAATTGAAAGAAAAAATACTTTGAATATTTTTACGTTTATAACTGAAAAATCATAAGTGTCAGGAAACAGAGGTGGCAAAATTACATATACTGTATGTTGTTTACTGTTGTCCATTTTGGTAGTAGCTCTAAGAAGTGCAGTCCATCAGAAAATGGTGGAGTAAAAACCAAATCTTAGTTTAATGGCCTTTCATTAAATTATGTCCTTTTTATTATCTTAAGAAAGTTTTCAAATGCTGTGAGGACTGCGATGGCGAACCTATGGCACACGTGCCAGAAGTGGCATGCAGAGCCACTTCTGCTGGCACACAAGAGGTCACCCAAAGAGACCCACTGCGCATGCGTGCACACCCCCACCAGCCAGCTGATTGTCGGGTATCTGCCGCACATACACGGGGAGAGATGTGCATGTGGGAGACGTGCACATGTGAAGAGGCATGTGGTGTGCAGAGGGGTCACATGCACATGTGCAAAGGTGTGCGGTGCACATGCAGGGGGTTGTGTGCGCATGCGCAGGGGGAGGGGGGAGATGCATGCGCATTGCATCATGAGTGCAGGCATGCGAGTGCACTTTTGGTACTCAACATGGAAAAGGTTAGCCATCACTGCTGTAGGAAATTTCATCTTCATAGTTGAACTGGTTGATTGAATTTATAGCCTGCTATGTCTCCTGGAACTCAAGAGATTTTACAAAAGAATCTCCATTAATTTTTGTCTTTACAGTGTTAACGATAGGCTATTGTTGAAGTAGGATAAGTCTCTGGACACCTGCATAACTGGATAGAAGCATTCCTGTCAAACAGACAACAAATGGTCAAAATTGGGAGCGTCCCATCAAATTTTATTTATTTATTTATTTATTTAATTAATTTTATTTGTCAATTGCTTACAAGATAATAGGTATAAGTAAAAACATAGTTATGAATACATGGATACATATAAGAAAAATAAAAAAATATAAAAGAAACAATAGGACAGGGATGGTAGGCATGTTGGTGCGCTTATGCACGCCCTCTACAGACCTCTTAGGAAAGGGGTGAGGTCAATAGTAGATAGTCTAAGGTTAAAGTTTTTGGGGTTCGGAGAAGAAACCACAGAGTCAGGTAGACTATTCCAGACATTGACCACTCTGTTGCTGAAGTCGTATTTCCTGCAATCAAGTTTGGTGCAGTTAACCTTGAGTTTGTATCTATTGTGTGCTCTTGTGTTGTTATGGTTGAAGCTGAAGTATTCATTAACAGGTAAGTTGTTGCAATGTATGATTTTATATACCATACTTAGATCAGACCGAAGTCGGCATAGTTTTAGGTTTTCTAGGTCTAGAATTTCGAGTCTGGTGGCATAAGGTATTCTGCAACGAGTAGAGGAGTGGAGAACTCTTCTTTGAAATATTTCTGGACTTTATCAACAGTGTTAATATCAGATACGCAATGTGGGTTCCAGACTGATGAGCTGTATTCGAGTATTGGTCTAGCAAATGTTTTGTATGCTCTAGTTATTAGTGTAATATTACCAGAGAAAAAGCTACGTAAAATTAGGTTAACAACTCTTAATGCCTTTTTGGCTATGTAGTTACAGTGGGCTCAAGGTTAATCGCACCAAACTTGATTGCAGGAAATACGACTTCAGCAACAGAGTGATCAATGTCTGGAATACTCTACCTGACTCTGTGCTTTTTTTCCCCAAACCCCCAAAACTTTAACCTTAGATTGTCTACTATTGACCTCACCCCTTTCCTAAGAGGTCTGTAGGGGGCGTGCATAAGCGCACCAACGTGCCTACTGTCCCTGTCCTATTGTTTCTTTTATATATTTTTTATTTTTCTTATATGTATCCATGTATTCATAACTATGTTTTTACTTATACCTATTATCATGTAAGCAACTGACAAATAAAATAAATAAATAAAATAAAATAAAATAAAATAAAAATAGAATTACTGGTCCAAAGTCATTCAATAAGTCCCATGGTTGATGATGGCCTAGAACCTGTGCCTCCCTCTCGTAGTCCCAGCCATTAACCACTACTGCATGCTGGGTCTCTTTGATATGTTTCCTAAAAATGTGCCATGTCAGTAAAACAGTAGTACAAATTATGGATTACATTCTTGAGCATTGATGAATCAGTGTCAGGTACCATCTTTTCCTCAAAATAATTTTTTTCTTGTGATAAAATATATGATTGAAAAGATCTAATATTTCTTTACTTATTTACATATTTTTTCCTATTTTCCTATTATGTATTACATTTTAAGCCCTATTTTTATAAGACTAATTTTTAAATGAAATCAGTATGTATTTTAAAATTAACCCTACAGCTTTTAGTAACAGATGTTGATATTCTGGAAAAACATGGAAATGGTGATGAATAGAGGCAGTATTATTTTTATCAAGTCTAGCGTTCATGAAGAATTACCATATGGGTAATTAAATTATTCACATTAGCTAAGTTTGTAAAAAGGCAAAAATATAAAATTGAATTTGTGTTTTATTTATTTACTTAAGGAGATGTTTTCCTTTAAGTGTTCCTGTTCTTTATCTGTCACTGTCATTGTTTAGTCAAGTATCAGAAGATAGACTCTAGAAACAATTGTGTATATCTAATTCAGATCTATGAGTCTGGGTCTACTTTCTCTATTTTAATATTCACAATGTATCATAGTAAACACATTTCTAAATTAATCAAAAGACGGATGAACTTCTTTCAAATGCTCTGTGATAGTAGCAGATACACTAGTAATTATTCACAGCAATGGCAGAAACATCTGGGACAAATATTAATAATAAAGCCATTTCAACTCAGTTTTGTCTTACTGTTTTGGTCACAAAAATAATTCCCAAATGGAGAGATTACTTTAATAATTCTCACAAATCAAGAATTCATTATCTCAGGCTCAGTTTCTTGCCTTTTCTAGAGTTAAAAAGAGTTTGGATCCTGATATCTCTGCACATTTAATCAGAAAGAATTTTGTCATCCACAGTGACCTGATGATAGACATATTTTTGAATTCATCATCCCAGATGTTATTTTAAAATCTAAAATAGTTATGTCCTTATTGAAGGTTTTCATGAAAAGGATCTTTTTTTAGATAAAATGGCACACTGGCTCTATTAATACTCTGCTCAGGTAGTGTGTATTGGACAGGAAAATATGCTATGTTTATTAGATGTTTTAAAACAGAAATCCCGGATTTATCTCAAAATAGGATGCAGTTCTTAATTAGCCGTTCAAAGACTTTTCCTTTGTTAATATTGTATAAAATGAAGTCCTTGGGCAGAAATATAGAATCAAAATATTCTGTTCTAATGAGTTCAGAAGGGAGGTTTTCATAATATTTGATTCTTGTCTGCCATTCACTGATGAGAAGAGAAAAATCTACCAAGTCTGATGTTTCTCAAGGGTTGTGCTGGATTGCTGAGAAGAGATTGGATAACTAGATTGGTTGCCCAATGCTTGGTTACAGCAGAAAGCAGAACCCATTTGGAATTCAGCCTAGATATGAGAAAATGCAAGATGTCAGTGAAGCCATGTATTAAAGAGAATTTGAATTGGAAATAGGATTCCAATCTGCCATTGGGGCATTTTGATCATTTTGATTTATTAAATTTTTATAGTTGTATTCAGATGAAACTGAATT